CGATTACATTAAACTAAAATTGGATCGGGCAATCAAAAGAGGAAATATTATAAAAGGAAAAAGTGGAATTGGACCCGTGTAACTCACAAAATTCTGAGAAATTGAGCGTGACCGACCGACCGGCTTTTATATATATATATATATTGATAATTTGTGTGTTTGTGGAGAGAGACTCCTTATGGCAAATCCTACTTGTTTCATGGCATAATATAAACATGGGTATAGTAAAGTTTACTAACCATAGCAACCAAACAATCGGTATACTAGACCCAATTAAACAACTCGTAAAAAGCGTTTTAATAATCGTAAATGTTCTATGAACTTCTCCCTGTTGACCAGTATTTCAAACTTTCGTGGATATTCTATCACTCATTTTTTTTTCTTTAGGTATACAAAAATGGGATTAGAACTGAGAAAGGAAGTGGGTTGCCACATTGAGTGTTGTTCATGGTGTGGTATTAATTAACTTTGATTCCAGAATCAATGAACTTCAACCTGTTCTTTTTTTTTTCTTCTGCTAAATAATTTATTTTAATTTTTATACCTATTTCCACGTGAGAGGTGTGTGTGTTAATTTGATTTATAACGTAGTTTGATACGTAATGTGTACATTACTAAATTATTTTATTTCATTCTATCAAATATTTCTCTAATCCTTATTCATACTATATCTTACCATATTTATAGCAGCTTACTTTCTTGTATATACTTCTTAATAATATAAAATTTTACATGACTCTTCTATACTCCCGTACCCACCCCTTTTGCTTATGCTTCTCCCACTTGAACGCCCTGGCATGGCCAAGTGGTTAGTGCGCTTGACTCGCAATCTGAGGGTCGCGGGTTCGAATCCCCGTCCCACCTAACATGCTCGTCCTTCCAGCCATGGGGACGTTATAATGTGACGGTCAAGCCCACTATTCGTTGGTAAAAGAGTAGCCCAAGAGTTGGCGGTGGGTGATGATGACAAGCTGCCTTCCCTCTAGTCTTTCACTGCTAAATTAGGGACGGCTAGCGCAGATAGCCCTTTCTAGCTTTGCGCGAAATTCAAAAACAAAAACAAACTCTTCTACCCCCAGTTCTTGTCTTTTCTCCTACCCGAAATCAGTCATCCATAGAATACTTTTGAAAGGTAAGCAAAAATGCAGGTGTTGTAGTCAGGTAAACTGATTTCTGCAGTAAGCAGCAGAATGTTAAACAGAAAATAAAAGGAACACAGACAGCAAAGATTCGAAGAAAACAAAAGGTAACAGAAACAATCTTTATTCGCAATGATAAATTTGAACTCAGCTGGTCGGCTTCAAAGTTCGTGTTAGTTAACTTTCAGCTGTTAGTGTAGAAATCTTTCGTTACGTATTTCCACAGAACATGCACTAGAAACAGCATAATTATATATCGCATTGATAAGTAAAAAAAGTTCGTTGTACGATAGCCTAAAATCCAAAATTGTTTGTCAATGACTCTTCCTACTATACATTCAAGGGGGGTATATTTGTAGCTTATACAAACATGTAATAATCTGTACCATATCCTAAAAATAGGCATTACCTCGCTTTAAGAGGATATAACACTGAAACTGGGCAATACTGAAAAATGTAGTGTGTAATATTTTCTAAGCGAGAAGATTAGCTCAAGTTCTCGACTTTTTTACATCCATTTAAAAAGGCATCCACTACTACGTTCAGAACACTTGCGTTAATTCTGAAGAATACCCGAATAGAGATGCATCTCTCTATTTATGGAAGTGATGTAGGCAGTTCATTCAACTGCGCCATTTGTTGTCATACTATCGAAATTTTGCACTGACGTCAGAATGTCGCGTGATCAATAGAGTACGCCGCCATATTGGAATTAAAATGCTTACTTTTGTCTTGGGTGAAAAATTAATTTTTATTATAATACTAGCAGAAGAGACCCACAAAATATGTGTTATGAAATTAGTATCTTTATTGCACCAGTACTTCTTTAAATACAGGATCTGTAGAATAATAAATAATTCTCATCTCGAACACTAAAATCTAAGTCCACTTGTCTTAGGCCAACCATTAGCCTTTATAAAGTATGGTCTATATTCGATAAAGAGAAGTTAACACTGAAATTTGCGTGCATTTTTTCTGCTTTGCTTTAGTTTAGGGATAAAGTTTACCGAACTCAATCCTATCAGAAAATAAACTTATTTTACGACCTAAAGTTTGGCCTATTTAAACATTTTAAGCTTTAAATATGTTGTGGTCTAAAGTGTCTGCTAAAGTATTTTTACATCAGTTTTTTTTGTTTGTTTAAATTCATTGAAATGAAGTGTGCGCGTATTTTCAGGACAGACACAATTTTGTATTGTTATAATAGATTGTGTTATCTGACCAACTAATATCGGCGATATTTATAAATGTATATCGAGGAACTGCGTAATCATAGTTTCTGATCTATGTATCTTAGCCAAAACGATGTTTACGACATTGACAAATAAAAGCTCTACCAACTCTTGTAGTGATATGGATTGTTTTTGATTGCCAGAATGGAATATTTTACACCCAATACGGTGGCGTGAAATGATAGTTTTGTGACATCACATCAAGACCTCTGTAGGTGTCCGTAACATCACTTAAGATTAAGTTTCTCACTTCATAATTCCTACTCGTCGTAAAAAAAAGTAAGGCCAACGTCTCGAAATCTCTAGAGCTATTGTTTTTGTTACTTCACTATGTAAAAGAGATTTACACCTATAACTCAGCACAATACTCAGTCTCCTGTTACAATAAATTGATAGTTTTGGTACAGTTAATGTGTAATTATACCACAGTTATTCCTATTATAATCACCTTACTGCTGAATCACTGGAGGTTTCGACACATTTAACAATCTTCTCTTACTAAACTACGTATAATCATAGATAGATACTATTACGTCAAAATACAAAATATTCCTGTTTCACTTCTATATTAAAGACGACGTTGGTTTTATGTACAACATACCCCCCCCCCCCCAAAAAAAAAGAGAGGGAAGGTTAATGTAAGTTATGCACAACTCACTGCAATATTTCCACTTTGAAATATAATCAAATGTCTTATTTCGTAAAACTTTTTACGTCATAAAAGCGAACGTTAATGTAATATAAATTATGTATCTATGACGCCCATGTAAACCAATATTCTTATTACACTGTTGCGGGATAACGTAGCTATGTGATTCCAAGTCTGTTAACTCTGGAAGCTGTTGGTGATTTGAGAGTTAGAACACGTAAATACACTTGGATATGTAGCTAAGGTCCACATCGACATTTCATCGTAACTCTACTTTATTAGCAGATAAGGAAACAAACTACCATGGAAAATACTCTCGTCGGAATACCCTGAATCAACCTAATTACGCCTCCTGATCAGTAAAATTCCCCCTTGGGGCCAAGTCGCACTTTGTTTTCACCTTTTTTTTTTTCTTCTATTAATGGACAATAAAATACAATTACGAGTACTTTTTGAAAGAGGAAGGTAAAACACATCATTGAAATTCCAGTGATAATTTCTTTTTCTAGCGGCTTACAGTATATCTTACAATGTTGAAGTATTAGGCTCGTTTTTTTTGTTTTTGTCGATCTGTAGAAAGTTCCTAGTCTACTCGAAAATCGACTCTAGTTTTCATTATCGCCAATTTTATTATATTCTCAAAAATGCTAAATCGTACTAATGAACTTAATGTTCTCTATAAACATTCGCTAATTAGGTTAATTTCTTCTAGTACTGCGACCTTTTCATACACAGTTCCTGAAGAGAGCACGTGATCGTGAGAGTGACTCATTCACTGTGTGTATGTGAAACAGATTATATACTTGTTGCTACATCACCAATTCTATTATAATCTAGGGGGGGGGGGGAATCTTAGAAAATAACCACCACAGAGACAGATTTCATATATAACTTATTTTTCTAATATCATTATCACAGCGGGCAGGTTTACATGAACTTGATATTTATGACAATTCTTGTGTTTGGAAAGAACTGGAAGTGTACCAGGTTTTATATCAAAGTATTCAAAGTGTGTATGTAGATGTACTAAAACATTGGCTTGGCATTAGGGGTGAAATACACAAGACTGTGCACTCTATTTTGTGAACTATTTTCTCGCCCTGTTTCAAGTTTGTATTATCATTAGTTTAAAAAATGTATAGTTGTGTATGGAAAACTTTTTAAAAGTAGTTCGTTTTTTCTTACTTATTTATCTGTTAAAATTATTTACTAGTTTACACTTTATTATATGAATCTTGGCCCCTTGAGGGCATATTTCTAAAAGGAACTTGTCTTCTGTTTGTTCACAAACAAGTACCATTTCTTAACTTTATATACAAAATAACTCCTGAACCTCAAGTAAACTCACCTTAAAATCGCAATATATTTCTTTTCACTATTCGGATTTTCGATCTTTCCTTCGAACCTTTTGAATCGAACATATTTGAGAGACTTCAGTATTTAAATTTTGATAACTTGGTTAATAAACTCACAACTGAATTAATTACCATGAATGAGCTGTGACTACCATCTGTTGGTACAAATTATTTATTGTGTTCGTCATTATCCTTAGTGACTTAAATTGACGACTACTTCACACTTAGTTCAGTCAAGTTCTGATACACGTGACTTGGTGGTATACACATTAACACTAACTGGAGTCATCCTGCTGTAGCATTAACTCGATCTTCTGAATAACGGAAGACGAATAAATTGATAAACTACGTTAGAAGTTTTTGTATCTGAAAAATACTGGGCTTCTGTAACAAAGGTTTTAGAAAAATAACTGGGTTTCTGTAA